TTGGGTCTGTGTGTTCTGGGGTCTCTGCTGGCAGTAGGGTTGCTGCTCTGGCTTTTGGCAGTCGCTTGGCAATGTAGGGTTGTAACTTAGAGCTTTCTTCAGCAGAAATTTTAGTAAAATTAGCCTTTGCCTCATTTCTGAAAGTGCAGAATAACATCCAGGAACCCACATGCTCACCAGGGGTATGTGTGGGTAGGTGTCAGGGTGCAGTGCCCCCTGCTGCCCAGATGGGATAGTGCCATATGTGTATCTTCCCCGCAACACTGTGATAGTGATCCCTGCTGGCCAGGCACGGGAGTGCCCTGTCAGTGCCTTCTTGTTGGAACAGTGACCCCTGGTGGCCAGGTGCGGCAATGCCTGGCATGTATTCCCCTTATTGTTGCTGCGGCGACCCCTGGTGGCCACTGATGACAGTTGCCTATGTGACCCCACCACTACCATTGCGCCTGTGACGGTTGGTGGCTGGGTGAGGCAGGGCCCGGTATGTATATCAGCCATTGGGGCAGTGCCCTCTGCGTATCCCACACTCATCTCAGTGAAACGTGTTGCCCAGGCGGGGCTGTCCCCTGTGTGTATTTACACACCCCAGCCCCTGCACTGGGGCAGTGGCCACTGGTAGCCAGAGGAGTCGGTGCCCTAGGTATGTTCTTCACTTTCCCCAAGGGGGCAGGGGCCTGGGTGTCAGGCAGTGCCTGCGTATCTTCCAACCCCATTGTGGCCGTGAGCCCTGCTCCTGGTGTGCGTCACTCTCCACTAGGGATGTGCCCTGTTGGCCACGTGGGGCAGTGCCCTGTGTGTAGCCCCCCCTCACCCTCTGTGCCAGGTATGGCAGGCACTGATCCCTGCATCCCCGTGGGATGTGTATCCCCCAACTGGGGCAGTGACCCCTGCTGGCCAGCTGGGGCAGTGCCGTGTGTGTGTGTGTGTGTGTGTGTGTCCCCTATTTGGGTAGTGACCCCTGGGGGTAAGTGAGGCAGTGGCCTTTGATTTCCTCTTCTCTCCACACACACATCCCCCTCCCTCTCTCTCTCTGTCTGACACAGTGCCCCCCTGTTGGCCAGTTGGGGCACTACCCGATGTGTATTTCTAGTGATTGGAGCAGTGACCTCCTGGTGGTGGCCTGGTGTGGCAGTGCCCTATTGGTATCTCCCTCCCCCCCAACACACCATTTCATTCCCCTTCCACCACCATTGCAGCAGTGACCCCTGGTGGCCAGGTGCGGCAATGCCTGGCATGTATCCCCCCCTATTGTTGCTGCAGCGACCCTTGGTGGCCACTGATGGCAGTTGCCTATGTGACCCCACCACTACCATTGCGCCTGTGATGGTTGGTGGCTGGGTGAGGCAGCACCCTGTATGTATATCAGCCATTGGGGCAGTGCCCTCTGTGTATCCCCCAACTGGGGCAGTGACCCCTGCTGGCCAGCTGGGGCAGTGCCATGTGTGTGTGTGTGTTCTATTTGGGTAGTGACCCCTGGGGGCTAAGTGAGGCAGTGGCCTTTGATTTCCTCTTCTCTCCACACAC